TTCATCCTTTATTAAAGAAAATCATTTTGTCTCATTCTCTTCCTCACTATACCATGGGGCCGAAACCTACAGTGGCGACGTATTGGGGCGCAGACACATTGGACCACGTTGTCTTCAGCCAATCCTCTGTCTCTCCGAGATCCAATGGTATGTGCGGAAGATCAGCAGCCAACCAGAGAAATACACGAATGAGGCGCAGCATTTTTTAATGAGCGGCGTGGTTCTGGCTTGTGATTGGTCAATAAAATCTGTTCTGTTGTTCCATTCTTCATCATACTAGGGCTCATGTATTTGATATTGGTGGCAGATACTCTGTTTCAATTCGAACCTTAGCTCTTCCCCTACAATGGACAACAGAGGTAAAGACTCTTAAATGTCAGATCAACTTGTCATGGCGGTTCATCCGATGTCCCATACTCTGGATCCATGGACATTTCCTGGGATTAATACTAATGCATCTGAATAGGCATTGGCAACTCAGCGACGACGACAAGGACAGTAGAAGCCTGTTGGACTGCAAGTGGATAAGGAACCTGCGATTTATGCAGCGACCTTCCTGAAAGTAAACAAGAGCTAAATCCCTCGTCTACTATTCGCTTGTGCCTCTATCCTTCCAGATGTGGGTATCAAGTAGTGTCGAACTGGATATTTTGTCAATCATCAACGGTGCGAGGAACAAATCCAGAAGATAAAGACAGTTTCACTCCTGAGGGGGAGGCAGTGTAGCGACGTATAATGGCGCAGACATAATAGACTCGAATGGACGGTGCCTGACGTGTGGTTCTGGCTTGTGATTAGTCAATAAAGCCTCTTTTGCTGTATCAGTCTAAGTTTATACTCGCGCTCGGGTATTCTAAACTTATGTGTAGTGTGATTAATGCCGTGCAGTGGCGCAGACATGCTATACACATCAAGCTCAGCCAGCCCTCTGTGTCTGTGATTGTAAATGGCCTAGGTTGAAGGTTGGCAACCAGCTTCGGCCTCGTCCATTTGTTCCTGTCTTATTTAGTAAACAAATATTTGAATGCATTCATTCTCTTTCACACCCTGGTGTTCGAACAACTGTGAGCTTGATAAATGACCGTTTTGTTTGGCCTAAAGATGTTCGCTTATGAGCTAAACTCTGTATTCTACGTCAACGCACCAAAGTCCACCGTCATAACAATTCACAACCTGGAAATTTCCCGTTCCTGGACGCGCGTTTCCGTCATGTACATATAGATTTAGTTGGACCTCTTCTGCCGTCTCGTAGTTTTACCAATATTCTAACTTGTGCGGACCGCTTTACCCGTTGACCTATGGCAGTACCTATTAAAGCTAGTGTCGCCGAAGCTGTTGCCCAAGGATTTATGGAATCATGGATTTCCTTGTTCGGTGTTCCTAGTTCTAATACATCTGATCGTGAAGCACAATTTACTTCTTGCCTGTTTCAAGACCCAAACCACCGTCTTGGATGCAAGCATTTTCGAACTGCAGCATATCATCCAGCATCTAATGGTTTGGGTGAGCATTTCCACCACTAATTGAAATCAGCCGTTATTGCGAAAGCTGTCTCGAATCACTGGTCTGACTCATTACCATCGATTATATTAGCCCTTTGGAATACGGTAAAGGAAGGTATTGACTCCGCGCCAGTAGAACTTGTATTCGGTCACCAAATCGGACCGCAATATTGAGTTCCCTATCTTCATCATATGTCGATCAATTAAAGTACTTCATGAAGGAAATTTGACCAACCCCTACAGAAATGTCCTCACGACAAACACGGATCCAACAAAGTTTGCTTACTTCTCTTTATGTATTTGTCCGTATTGATGGTGTAAAAAACCCTTGCAACCACCATATGATGGCCCCTTTAAGGTGTTAGAACGCGCCGACAAATTTTCCTTAATTGACAAAAATGGTGCGCTAGACACTGTGAGCACGGACCGTCTCAAAACTGCTTATACTGAAGACACCAATGTTCCTTCCACATGCTCAAGCAACGACGAACTCGACAATCTCTCGTATTCCCACCCTGCCCAACCTCCCGTTTTGGTCGACCCCTCAGACCCGTTATTCGCTTTGCTGATTCCGTTCGATAATTTTTGAGCGTTTACTGTTTTACAGCTAACACTCGGGGGGAATATTTGTAGGAGACAGAAAGCCACCTCGCGTGCGTGATGCGCGTACCATGGCCGAGTGTACCAATGACTCACCCCCTTATGTTATTGTCCTTTGTCAGCATTCGCCTGTTACGCGCGCGCACTCTCTATAGCCTCTTTCATCCCTCTTCTTGGGTTCTAACGGACTGTTAACTAGAGGGTTGCAAGGTAGTGCTAAACTCGGCTACTACAGAGCCATGTTAAAAGCCGATAACAGATTGTTTTCTAAGTGAGGGGCAGATTGGTGCCTATAAGTGCGTCAACACATTGCATCTACTCATTGACTTGGTCGATCCTACTACCTTCTGCAATTCAAAGGCCTAGAAATCTCTAACACCGATGATTCGGATGTAAAAAAGCTCTATACGAAGAATGATTAAAGAAATATGAAGTACTCTAACGGACAGCACCTGACAAATGGCTTTGATGTTAGTCTGCTTAACAAATATTTCATTGAGTTGCCTAATTTATACTACGGCTCGTGCATTCTAGATGACAAATAGCTAAGGCTGTGTGAATGACACCACATAAGCTGCTACAGTGGGCTAATTGGATGTTCAAGTTATCCTTTACGCTATCCACCGAATGGAAACTGCCTTTTTGTCTCTACATAGAGGGCAACGTTTAAATCATCTTGATTTTTCTAAGATTGGCGAAACGTTTGTCACGTTGTTTTTGAAAAACCCTCGGTTTACAATACTGGTTTAGTTGGAACGCAATGCACAGTGACCAAATAATGGAACAAACTACAGAACAACTTGTTTAACATACCTACTGTAGTGCTGCGAAGGAAAAACGCTAAAAGCTATAAAGCACTGCAGCTATTTCGACAAGGAAACAGGCTTTTTAAGCTGCAAATGAAATTTGGCCAAGGTGTAACAATCGTCGCGGCCATACCGCATGAATTACTTGATGACCCAAACATCGCGCAGGTGTTTATTTAATAGAAGTAGGCAACTTAATCCTACCCCACTACTTCACTCCTCAAAACCGCAAGCTGGGGATGATGAAATTGCTGATACTCACGGATTACTCTACAAGAACATGATCTCAATGTCTCGCTAGCAGAATCCGACCGTCCAAGTTTTTGAAAACAATCAAATCATGTTCAGAATCTATGCCTGGCGGATATGCAAATTCTGAGTCAAACCATGTAAATAATTGTTTAAGAAAGAAATGTATAATGAATTCAAACGTGCATTTTATCATTTCTAAAGCTTTTCACAATGCAAACATTATCGATCCGCATAACCATGTTGAAGTGTCTTGTCAACAAGACCTGACTGGTGAATTTCACGTAACAGTGCGGCCAATCACTGTCGACACAATTGACACCCAGAGACAATCACAAACCAGTAACAGAAGGCAAAGATTACGCGGGTTGCAGTTCAATGAAGAAAATTCTCAACACACAATCTTGATAACGGCCATGATTGAGTCTCGAAGTCGTTCAGGAGTGTTACCGTCTTTCTAAGGAGAATAATTGAATGGACATCAGGAAGTGTTTTAACTACAGGCAAATTTGATGACAGCAGCTTCTTGTAACAAATCACAAAATAAGCTGCGCCATAAACATTTTGGCGAACGTCTGAAACCACATATTTGACAAATAATTATAGATTACATACAGAGAAATTTGTAAAAATTTTCCTAATAGAACAGCAAATTAACTTTTGGTGGCCAAAAGTTAAAGCGCAGAAATTGAATATCACAACAGGAAAATATTGAGGTAAAATATTTCCCGATTTCTTTCAGAAATTGTTTCAGCAATTAGGAAGTATTTCGTCAAATTATGAGTAAAGGTATTCACTTCGATGGAGAGTCGAAATACCTCAAAAGACATGTCTTTTTGCAAGAATTTCGACTAATGAATAGACTACGCTTCAAAACACAAAATTCATGCCACCCGATTTGAAATTAGCATTTGTAGGATCCTCTTTTGGCCTATTGTATATTTGCAAAATTGAACTACCATCTGTAAGTCAAAACAGAATATCACTAACTTCCATATAAATCCGCCTATTAATAAACAATCATTCTTGAAACTTAACACGCTAACCTTGTAGAGATTCGTTTTGATTCACGTCCAATAACCCAGTCTTCACAGCCCCCAGCACGCGTCCCCCTTTTCAAGACCTGCCCGTCAGTCGCGTGAGGCCGCTGGTTCATTAACCCCCCTCATGTCCCACCACCACCACCACCCTTAGTCATGTGACCTCACAGACACCTGTGTTTATTTTTGTACATGTCAACTTAACCGTAATTGTACACGTCACAACTCTGTGGAGCTGTCTAGTAAACGGCTGTGCCTTCTCCATTCTGGTCTTCTTTATTTTCGGGGGAACACAGGGTAACGTATTCGGCCTAGAATATCGCAGTGGCCCCGGCGTGGTTCAAGACAACATGCCGGGGCCCCCAACAACCTTAAATGCACTAGTTTCAACTCCTGAATGTGTTGAATAACTGAGCCGTAGCATAAAAAAGACTAGGAAAACTTTATTGACCAATCCAAAACCAGAACCGCACCTTGGTACTTCTCATTCACCCTTGTTTCTAGTTTGCTGTGTAGGTTTCGGGCCATGATAAGAATAAAGCTGAGAGGTGATACAGATGACTTTACTAGACGCAGAAAGCAGCCTCAGTCTGGATGGACAGTCATAATGCAAAACAGGGCCTTTATATAGCCTAGTCCTGATCGTTCCGTTCTCCTGTTGACTTGTTCCTTGGCGCTGCAATGGAGAAGGAAATCTCGTAAGTGGATTAGCTTTCAGTGCCCACGTGACGCCAAAAATCCGTAAGTCGCGTCCTCGATCACATGACGTCGCCACCATGCCCTCCGGGTCACCCTCGACCAATGAATGAGCACAAAGATGGCGGATATTTGCCATTCCGCTACACTGCTCTCCCCCTAAGACCGAAGCTGACCCCAACGTCTCATCTAGCACCACTGCAGCTATTTAGACCGTGTGATCTACCGGAGGTGTTTCACGTTTTTGGGAAGAGCCTGCATAACCTGGCTTTCAAGGTGGGTTGCCACAACGTCAGCCTGCAGCTGTAACTCATGTCCGAAAGTCATTACTGCTGGGGTTAGACCAGTGGAGTGCACAGCCAACCTACACGCTACTAGACATGCTGGCAAGGCGTCGCCCAATGATTTAACGCATATTAATCGAGATGCAGCCTCAGAAGCATCTTAAGCGTCCTGTAAGTTCGTTCGACTTGCCCATTCCCCTAGGGGTGATATGCTGTATACGGCTTCTGTGAATGCCTAGCAAATCGCACAACTCCAAAAGCAACGAGCTTTCAAATTGGCTGCCTCTATCAGTATGAATTTGGTAGGGCACTCCATGACCAGCAACACATCCCGATATAAATCCTTCTGCTACAGACAGAGCGTCTGCCTTATGGAAAGGTACATCGTGTGTTAGGTAGGTCGAAGGGCATAGCCTCGAATTCGTTTAACCCTGACGGAATTATAAACGCCGTTTTCTCTTGATGGGTTGGGTTGATATTGACTTGCCAGTAACCCGACTTAAGATCCATAGTAAAGAACGACGTTGATCCACCTAAGGTGTCTAGCGTGACATCCATGCGCGGAATGGGGAAGCTATCTTTCACCGTGACTTCATTGAGTTTCCGATAGCCTACACACAGCCTAATGGTACCGCCCTTCTTTTTGGCGACAACTATAGGCGATGCTCATAGTGATGACGACGGTTTGATGATTTTCTGCCTACTGATACGCCACAGGTATCCGTCGAGGTCGTTGTCAAATAGGGCGTGCCTCCGTCGTGTGAATTTCATGGAGCGTAACATTTGTTCGACCAGTGTCTGCCTCGTCCAAAGCAAATACATCTGCATACTCTCGGACCAGCTTGCGAAGCTGAGTAAGATCAAGCCCCTCGCCGTGTTGCTTGTGTGCTTACCAATCGGTCTAGCTCCCTTGGGGTTTTGTGTCGTGATCGTCGATATGGCCCCGTTAATCTGTTCATATATTACCGGTACTTCGTGAGACCCTAGGCGTAAGCAACGCTGTGGCCGACTATATTCGCCTGTGTACCTGTCGAGGAAGTCGGACCCCAATATACCATCGTATGGCATATCCTGGCATAAATATAAAATATGCTGGTACAGACTACCGGCAATAGTGAAACATCAACACACCCCTTACTACGCATCGCAGTACCGTTCGCGGCTTTAACACTAACTGACAACTCCACCTGATGCGGTTCAAACGTTTTCCGAGGGAACCGTCGTGGGTTGACCAGGGAGCATCCGGCACCCATATCAACTAGAAAGTGTATTAACCTACTGCATAGACCTATGAATATGAAGAATCGGGTATCAGCACATGACGCATGAAACTGCCGCGCCTTGAGACTTCTTAGAACCTTCTCCGCCGCGAGGTTTACCCATCCATTGTCCGCCGGGTCCCCTGAATCGCGGCCCATGGAATCTGTTCGTCTTTGGTCGCCACTGTTGGGTTTGATCCGAGACGGAGAGCAGAGCGTTAACCCTCAGGTCGGGGTCAGCCGAGAGAACCCTCTCCACCTCCGCTATTGACTTAGGTAAAACCCTGCGTGCCGCTCTCTGATCTCAGCTGGTAGTCCCATGATAACGAAGGCTACCGTTAGGCTTTCGGGTGGTTTACCTGGGTAGCTCTTTTGGACTGGATCATACACGTCAGCCATGTAGACGATTGCCCGTTCCCCTGCCCGGTAGCATCGACTTATGAGTTTCAGCCGATTGCGTTCAGGCTTCTTCGCGAACAACTGGGACAATTTATCCAGCAGCTGTTCATACGGTGTATCTGCAGTGCAACCTGACCTAACTGCAATACCCCTGGCAGGAGGAACCAGGTTTCTGATCACCTTATGTGATCGAGAATCAGGTTCTTCATATCTCAAGAACTGCTCCATTTTCTCCAACCACGCCTCGATGTCATCGTCTATATTGAACTCGAGCGTTTGAGGGGGGAAACTGCCTCTTTTCCATACGATTTGGTCACTGTAAGGGTACTTTTCCGTTTTTGAGACGGCATCGATGCCAACATTTGTACGCCTAGGCCCCATGGTATGATCAAGAAGATAGCAAGGCGAAACGGAGATCTTAAACAGAAACTGGAACCAATCCCAATCAAGTCGGTAGCATTGGGGAAAATGGAGCTATTATATAGCCTTATCATGGGGTTGTCCTGTTCTTCCGTTGGTCTGCTCCGCGGCGCGTCATTCAATGCCACGTGATGCCACGAACCCGAAAGTCGCGCCCCCGGTCACACGACGTCGTCACCAATCAGTGTTCTTCACCCTCGACCAATGACTGAGCACCAAGATGGCGGCTATCTACTATTCCACTTTGTAGAATACCCGAGGCCTAATAGGTAAAAGACCGGTACAACAGAACAGGCTTTATTGACCAATCAGAAGCCAGAGCCACGCGTCAGGCGCC